ACCATGCTCTACTTAAAATGAACTTCCCAGCCAGACACTGGGGAACATGTCTATTCCATGCCGCCAACCTGGAGCAACACTGGCCTCAGAGATTCTCCCATTCATGCAGACACTCGCACCAGCTCAGAGCCTCAGCCCAGGCAAAGAGGACACGTGGGCCACTCAGCAAGGACACTGTGGGCCAAGGTTAGGGACACACACACCCCTACTTCAGTGACTTCCAGGATCACGCTCATCTCCGCAACGGCCCCACAGCCCCAACCCCTGCCCTGCACTGCCCTCATACGCAAGGGGACTAGGGTCTATGGCCTCTGCTTGCTACTGGTGCCAGCACACAGCACACGTACTTCTCTGCCAGCCTTTTCCACACACACTGCCATGGTATCTGCTTTCCCCTCTTGCACTTTCAAACCTCTCATCTACCCACGGTCACCGCCTCCTGGGCTTGTCACAGAAGTATTGGATTCACCATGTCCTCTTCCGCCCTACTGACCGCTGTCTGGTGCTTTCTCCTCACTGCATGACTATCCATCCAGTTCAACAGTCCAAAACTATGGGAATTATTTCTTACTGGTCTCTCTCCTTATTTTTTTGCTACAGTCAGTCAAACCAGGGGGTGGCCTGGATTCCAGTCCCCAAGGCCATCAACAGATGCAGTGGTCCCCTAGGAGAGCTCCCAGGCCCCAGGCACCATGGTACACAGTTCTTTCAATGTGCTATGGTTAAAGGAACCTTTCAACTTTCTAAAAATAGTTCATTTTATCAAGTCATTATCTTGAGTGGCTTCCCATGGTACTTAGGGTAAGGGCCATCCTCTGTCCTGTCTGTTAGGAGAAGCCAGCCACCGCTCCCATGCTGCTCTGGGAAGCCTAGAGGATTTCCACAAGCACACAGAGTTGTTCCACTGCCTGTCAGAACCCACTAAAGATCTGAATGTTGATTTTGTGAGACCTAGCATTATTTAAGAATGGAATATAAAGTAACAGTAACAGCAGCAGCAGGCAATATCGATTTAGTACCTTCTTGGTACCCGGAGGAAAACTGAAATGCTGTGTCTCCATTCACTCACTCGCTCACCCATTCATTCTATGCCCAGGACAGCCCTGTGAGGTAGGCAGCATCAGTGTGCAAACCTCACAAACCTCAGACTCAGAGCTCAGTGTGCAAACCTCAGAAATCAGTGTACCAAGAAGCTGCCCCACATCCAAGGCTGAGCCTATAGCTGGGATCTGAAGCCAGGAAATCTAGCCCTTACCTATTACACTTCACCTCTGCTTAGCAGATCACCACGGAGGGCATTCCACAGAGCAGAGCACGGGCTCCTACACGAAATGCTCATAACTAAAATAATTCATGTGCACTGCATTCACACTGCATTGCAAGGTAAAATGTATTTCTCACTATGGACGATGCCAAAAATAAAGTTGGGTTCCACCTATGCAAAATACTCTTTTCCCACCTGATCTACTTCAGCTAGAGAACTTGAAATGTCCTGTGGATCTCAGTTGTAAGGCTCTTTCCTGGAAGGAGGCAGACGCTACCGCCCAGGCGTGGCCTGCATGCTCTGAGTTCCCAGAGCAGTTTCTATGCCTTCCTTTCGTAAGGCCCAGTGAAGCAGCACCTACACATCACAGGCCTGGGCCTGTCACCTCTGCTTCATCACCACTGAGTCCCCAACACCCACCATGTGCCTAAGAGGAGGCAGGCACTCCAGTAGGTAATTGTTGAATGTAGGAAATGAATGGTTTTTATCTCGTAATGACTAAGGACATTAAACACACTATAAGCTCGGGGAAAACAAAATCTACTGCTGCTCATCATTAGAAATAATCTTTCCAGGTGACTACAAAATGCCCACACTTTATTTTACCATCCAAGTGAACAGTAGTGCAAAGCAGGCAGAATTTCATGTGGATACAGCTCTCTGTGGTAGTTATTTCGGGCACACTGTGGGGAGAGCGGGGTAGAAGCCGGAGCCATGTAAGGTGGGAAATAAAGCTGTCTCCCTGGGGCAGCTGGGGCTGGAAGCTGGCCTCAGCCTTGCAGCAGGAATCTGTCCATTCCTAGCAAAGCACCCACATCGGGGAGGCCCGGGATCCAGTCACACCTCACACGGTTTCCTAGCCTCGGATTTGCAGCTCTAAGCCCCCAACAGGCAAAGGGACAGCAAAGAGTCCTCCTTAACAGAATGCTCCACATTAAGCATGAGATGGGACTCCCCATCATCTGCAGAAGTAAACCCCAAAGCGAGAGGCCCTGTCAAACCAGGTTTGTCAATGGCAGCAGTCTTTTCCCTGGTGCGGCAAGGACAGCCCAGCCAGGGGGTGGAGGAAATGGTACCTGCATAAATGATCACACTCTCCACTCTACCCCGTGCAGTACCAGGCAGCTGGCTGCTGCTATGCCTGAGAGAGAAAACCAAAGCAAAATTCCCTTCCTATGAAAGCACCTGCTTGCGGGTTGTTCTGAAGTTTACTTGTTAAAAGTAACTGTTCCGGATCAACCCATGCTGTGATAAATTAAATAGATGTCATCACTTTCACAGAAAAACATGTTCGGCCCTCTATACTGAAATGAAAGAAAGTAAGAAAGCTGAATTCTAGAGATTTGAAGGTTACACTTGGGATCCTCTTCTGATGGCTCACATCAGTCAGGAAAGAAGGGGATGTACAAAAAGTTAGTTCCCTGTACATGGTGGGTATAGAAAGTTACAAAGGCCAGGATTGAGGCTCGAAGACAGATCCAAGGCAGGAGATCCAACTCAGCAGCCCAAGGGCAGAGCTATGAGGACATCCAGGGTCCCATGCACACAGCAGCAGAGGGCGAGGTGGCTTCAAGAGCTGCATGCACTGAGGAAGAGGAAGAGGAGCGTGAGCTCATGTTCTTTAAACAGGGGGAAAACAAAAGAGCAATGGCAGAAGAAGCCCCGAGGTCTGGAGAGTTATGGAGTAAGGAAAGAGAAAACAGGGCATAAAGACAGGAAAGGAGCCACAACAGTACAGAGCCCTAAGCTGTCCTGAAAAAGTTGGAGGGCTGCTACCTTTTTTGTCTTTGCTAAATCATCACGAGCATTCCAGAGTAGTAACTCTGCCATCACAGAGTAAGGTTATGGAACCTGGCTATTGGTACTTTTTTGAATTAGCAATAAAATCCTTAAACATAATGGCTCAGAGATGGGGTATAGCTAAATGGTACAGTGCTTGCCCAACATGCGTGAAGTTTTGGGTTCCTTCCTCTGCTCTGTAAAACAAGGGACAAAGAAAAAGAAGAGAGAAGAGAAGAGAAGCATAGATAGAAAAAGCTGGAGAGACAAGTAGCATGTGGCATCTCGTCTACCAGGCTCAAATGCTCCTAGAATCTGTTTTTCACAGCACCCACAGCAGCAGTGCCATGCGACATGATGAACCTCATGGCACTCTCAGGTCCTGCATGGATTTTAGTGCAGTACAACCCCCAGAGACAGGAGATGCAGATGGCATAGCACAGTGCTGAGGAACAGGGCTCAGGGCTGATCAAAGCTCATGGCCACCGTGGCTGTCCCCTTCCGTCACAACGTGACTTGGTAATGAGCGCACTGCTTTGAATCTCTGGTTTAGTGTCTACATCCATAAGCAGGGCTTAAAAATAACAGCTTCTAGGATTATAGTGGGGATTAAATGGGTGATGGAAAAACGTTCTTTCCAGTGTCTACGAGCATCTGTGTGCAGGGACCTGCCCCTACCAGCTGCAGTCGAGGAGACAGAAGGACAGGTTTTCCAACAAAGTCTGAAACCTGGGCCCAGAAGTGATGATGGATAACTCCCTAGGTTAATTAGAAGGGTGGAGAACAGCAAGCAGGGACACTTGGAGCTGATTCAGCCCATTTCCAAGTCTCCACAACTGTGTATGAACATGGGAGGTAAAGTTAGTCCTTTCATAAGACTAAAATTACTATGGGGAAAAGATATGCACATTATCATTTAAATATTATAGCTGTCATGCAAGAAGAGACTGAAGAGGCAAGGTCATCATTGCCCGGCAAGGCACACGTCCTGTAGGCACGCTCAGAAGAGCCCAGACCGCAGGAGCAAACAGAAGCTGCTCTATGCCCGCTGAGGGTGAGGCCAAGTGAGGCCTAGAGGGGGCTCTCTGCTGCCTTCAGGAGCACAGTCTCCTGGACCCTGGTGTCTGGTGCCTTAGGAATTCCTGCACAGGGCAAAGTCAGCAATACCTCCCTGCTTGAACTTGTCTTGCCTCAATTACACAAGCCTCACTGGAGCTTGGGGATCAGGAACTGCCGATGGGGAGAATTCAGCTTGGCAATCCCAGCATCTTTTGTATGAGTCAGATGCGTAAGAGGATATTTAAAACACTAGGGGTACTCATGGCAGAGAAAATGGTACCTTCGACAACAAACCCAAACAGAACTTGTCAGCTCAGTCACTGTGTGGGCAGAAGGCAGCAATCTGGGCACTGATGTCCTCTTCTGAAGAGGGGAACAATGGCCTTGGCATAAAGTGCCATAAATTACTAACTTACTCCAAATAGAATCTTCTCAAATATACTGCTTACTACTCCAGAAGTGTTATTTTGTTTATTCACTTGCTCAACAAATGTTGTCTTAGCCTAGATTTCACCAGAAGCCATTGGAGGTGAGGATGCAGAGCAGCAGCTTGATGGCAGCTGCAAGGAAGAACAGAGAAAAACCAGAAAAGAAGGGCTTGTTTCTGTGAGCAGGGACTGGAAGAGCTGTGCTGTGTACCCTGGGACCCAGAGGAGCTGTGCCTCCTGCCCTATCACGTGCACATGAGTCCCTGGGGCTGGGAAAGTGGATCCTGAGGTTAGCCTGCTCGGGCTCTGCTCCTGCATTTCTGCCAGGCCTGGGCTCTGCCAGGCCATGGTGAGAGGATCAACCTTTCATGCCAAGGGTGTGAACTGATGCCTCTGCACTCCATCCTAAAGGCCTTAGGGGCTTTGCAGCCACTGGTTGGCAGACACTCATAGGCGTGGCCAGTCCCAGGCACATCCACAGGCCCAGAGCTGCAGAGCAGCCTCCTGGGACTTCAGAGGGCTGGAGCTCAGCGGCAGAGGCTGTGGCAGGTCTCGGTGAGTAGCACTGTTCCCTTGCTGACACTGGTTATGTCCCAGTCTGCTACGGAGATACAGTAGCAGGGAAAGGGATTGACACTACCTGCCATGTGGGCTCAGTATTAAACCCAGCCAGTGCACAGATCCCTTCTTAGGTGCAAATGAGGAACACAATGCCAAAGCAGGATGTGAAGGTGGGGGCTGCGGTTTGCAAGTCTGAATCAATCCCCTGAAAAGCGGGTACCTGAGTGAAACCATGGCTGCCTCAGAGAGGGACATGGCAGGTGAGGAGGTACGAGGACAAAGACACAGGGGGCCTCGGGTCTAAGGAGAGCACAGTGAGGCCAGCAGGGAGTGAGAGGTCACATGGGTCCTGGGGTCCAGCAGGTGACCAAGGTTCCCAAAACTGCAGGACTCAGAAATCCACTAGGGTTGAAGAGAGGCCCATGTGAGGCCTCTGGGCTCAGGGAAGACAGGGTGGACAGAGTGAGTGCAGGTGAAGAATCGCTGCCCGGACCAGAAAGGGAACAGGCAGGGGCTTTAGTCAAAATCCACGCACTTGCTGTGTTAAGGTTTGCACTCTCTCTTTTCCATTTCTTTAAAGGTTGTTCTTTCTCACTTCCTGGCCCACCTTTCTGATCCTCTTGAGTGACATTCTGGTCTTTAGTGGTCACCATGGTAGCAGCGGAGTGACCAAGAAGTCCTAGGATGACCCAGAGGGGCTGAATAGAAAGCAAAAGGGCTTTGGCTTTTGCAGCTTAGCAAACTGCATGTGTGATATAAGAGAAAAACAGTCATCCAGGATTACTTCTGGGCTTTGGAGCTAAGCAAGTACAACCACAAGACTGGCATTTTCTGAGAAAGGGGACAAGAAGCAGCATCTGGGATGGCGCACATCACATTTTGGGTGCCAGATCAATGTCTGAAGTGAGAAGTCAAAAAGATGGCTGAATCTACAAACCCAGCCCTCAAGTAAGACACTCTAGTGGGTTTCCTACCAACTGCACTTAGAGCCTGACTCCTAAGAATGTCAAAATTTGGTACTGCTGAAAAAAAAAAAAAAAAAAAAAAAAAGAAGAGGACTAAGGACTCAGTCTTGAAGTTGCCCAATACAAGGAAAGCATATAACACAGCATTAGCAGCTGAGACCCCAGTGCAGTGGGGGTGGGAGCCCAAGAAGAGCGCTCAGAGGGCAGAGTGACCTGCATGGTAGTGGCCAGCATTCTGGCAGAGAAAGCCCGGGATGCAGAGGGACACGGGATGAGGCAGAGGAAGTGTGATGAGGCACCCAGAGAATAAAGTTCAAGAGGAATGGCAAACCAGAGAGAACACACAAAGGCACCCAGTGGTTTAAAGGCAGGGGAGCAAACATGGTGGCCGGAAGGGAGGCGGGGCTAAGATTGTTTTCCCCATGATGGAGGAAGAGGAAGGAAGGAAGAGGATTTGGTAGAAGGGTGGTCCCTGATGAAGGCAGACAGGAAGCACAGCTGAACAAGGCTGCAGAGCAGGAAGAGGAGCTGGGAGGGCTTCGGGGCTGACAGCATGTTTGGGATTCAACAACAAAACAGAACACCACGGATCCCAAGGCAGGGGGGAAGGGTTATATCACTGTAAGTTGAAATTTAATCCGATTTTAGTATTTTGTTTCTAAATTAGCTATTATTAAACACAGGTCAGAGGACATCCAACATTCCATTATCTAAGAGGTTATTCCCTTAGTGAAGTCTTTAAAAGACAGATTGAAATGATAAAACAATTATCTTTATATAATAAAAATATATTTAATGTAAAAGATATAGGGCCTCAAATGCTAATAAACAAAAGCATTCAGAGCCAATCATGATGCTGGAATGTCTGTAATCTCAGCACTCTGGGAGGCTGAGGCAGGAGAATCATAAATTTGAGCACAAGGAGGCAACGTAGCAAAAGTACATTAAAAAAAAAACCCTAAACAGCTGAAGTTGCAGCTCAGTGGAAAGCCCCTGTGTTCAGTCTCCTAGTACTGAAAAAATACAAAAATCAAAAAGAATGTTTCTAATATACATTGTGGTAAGTATCATTAGCCAAGCCTGTCGGGAGCATGATTTTTAAGGGTATGGTAGTATTTATTTTCCCTACATTATTAGAAAGTAAAGTCACTATTCTTCAATTTTCCCATCAATTGCAGAAAGAAAAGCAGGAAAAAGTATTTCATTTTCTACACAGTCTGGAATTGAAACTGACTTTGCCTCTCAGAACTGTCGAAAATTTCTTTGACGAAAAGGTTTTACAGTCTGCAAAGCAGGTGGCATCCTTGACACGGCATTCTGTATTCACCCACAGGTCCGTGGAAAAGAAAAACGTTAGGAGCGTCAAGGAAGGTCTCGGCCAGGCCTGGTGACATGCTTCCTGCCTCGGCTGGCTTCCTCTCCAGTCAGCTGCCATGGGAAGTCTCTCATTCAAAGTGTTAACCAGAAAGACAAGAACACTTGAAAAATATCCAATCAGCTCTCCCAGAACTTAGTTTTAATAAGAGGTCAGCCTGACATTTATTTTCCAGTGTTAAAAAAGAGGATCTTCTTTTTCAATGCAAATTAAAAGATACATACTTCAATTCTTGGGATTTACAAATTCCAGACTTAGTCTAAGAAACCCATGCAGGATATGCATGGGTAGTAAGTGGCTGCTTTCTGACCAGGTGACAAACAAAACGAATACAATTAGGCAAATTTCTCCAGTTCTTTCCTTTTTCTCTTATGACAAAGAATCACCCTGCGTTTCATGTCGAGGCACAGTTCTTTACAGGTGTGTTTTAACTGCATTCCTAAAGTCAGCAGATTACATAGGATATCATTTAACTTTATGAATGTGGAACTGGTCACATTAACTCATGTGGCAACTAGGCCTGTGTCATAAAAACACTCCAGGCTCTGAAATATCTGACATAAGCAAATAACCAGTGTCAGCAGGGCCTCCTTCCCCGGGGTGGAGTGGAGTGCAGGACCTGAAACTGCTACCAAGTGGAGGAGTCAAATCCTTCTCAGGTGCTCAACCCAATCCTGTGAGACCTTTTATCAAGTGGTTCTCATCTTCCTGTTTATTTGTAATTAGGATTTAATTCTAAAATTTGTAGGAAACAGAGCTAACTAAACAGTCTATGTCTGGAATCCTGAGGGTCCTGAAGAGCAGAGGGGCCGTGAATTAAGACTTCATTCTAAAGGCAGGGCATTGTGTGCTCCACTTGTGCCAGGATTTGGGTCTGAGATGGAACCACTGGCCAGGCATCTGAGAGAGTTTGCTCTCAGAACTCGTGGTCCCAGCAAACCTTGGGATCAGCTTTCACCACAGTGGCTCTCCTGGTACATACTGGGAGGATGTGCAGGTTTTGCTAGCCCTGAGTGTCAAAGTGTATTTCCCTAGTCCTTCATAGCTCATCTGTGACCCAAAGAGGAATTAACCCTTGCCAAAGAAGCCCTTTCAGATCTGCCTTTTGGGTCATCACTCTTTGCTACATTGCATCTCATCCCAGATGGGCAACTATTACAACCCTCACGCCTCACTGCCTTTGTCCTGTCCATTCTGCAGCTGCCTGTGTCCCCAGGCCACCGCCTTACACAGGAAATCCAGCTGGTGCTGTACGTTACATGATCTTGGAATTACAGACCCTGACATCCACGCAGTGTGCACTGATAATTTCTGAATATACCAAAAGCAAGGACTACAATTTTCTACTGGTAAAAAGGGGGTTAATAAAAAAAAAATGCCCTTGCCTTTTGAAGCAGTAATTTAAACCCACAAGCTAGAAATCAAGATCAAAAAGTTCCACAGTGACTAACATGGAAATTACTTAGCCATCAAAACCGCTGATGTCGTAAACAAAATTCGTCAACAGCCACTAAGAATTCATTGAAAGTGAATTTATTGTTTGTTTAAAATAAAATAAAAAAAAAACAACTGTGCAACACGTGCTGCTCAAGACAGTGTGAATCAGGTTTGGTGTTCATCTCTTCTCAGGCTTCAGTTTGGCAAGGCTAAATGAGAGACACGGTACAGACACATAGTTAGTAAGCACAGAGCAGGGGCAACAACAATACGTGTTTGTTATTCTCCCAAACCTAAGATGCGCCATCCGAACCGTAACGACAAGTTTTAAGATCTGAGCATGTTCACTGTGTTCTGAAAATGATCATATTCTAAAAAGGAAAAGCTAGCAGTATATCTGATTTCAACCAAACAAGGTTTCCAATGAAGTTATCTATTTCCTCTTCCAGAACTGAATGAAACAATGCTTCAGGGGCCCAGGTAATTATTTTAAGTGTAATTGGAGAATTCAATTTTAATGGCAACACTGCAACATTACTTTTGCTCTAGCTTTCCGAAACAATAGGCTCTCAGCTATCACATAGTGACAATGGCCAGAAAGCCATTGGGAGACATGCCACAAGGTCACATCCTGTAAGAGCCTTCAGTTTACGGGCACTTAAAATTCTCTGAAACTCAAACAATCATAGTTCCATTTTTCCAGCAGAACAATATCAAACTGTACTTACTTCAGGGCTGAATAAAAGGGGACACATCATTGGAAATTCTTAATATATAAGACAGGATTTTAATGTCTTGTTGGTGATTTCTATTTAGAGATGTAAATTTAAGCCAAAACACGTTGCTTAAAAATGCTGTTGCCTTCCTTTAAAATACACACATTTAAATCGTGAAACTACTGTTCTTCCTCCTTTAAAAGTATGGATTTAGTTCTCTTTTTAATGACACCTCACATAATTGCAGGGTTCTCAGCAATGTTTCACAGTGCAAAATTTGAATGGCCAATTGTCTGAGAATCAAATGTACACAAACTCCAAATTTCAAGCCCTCCCTCTGCTCTGTTGGCTATATTCAAAGTCATGCCTACCTGTGCCCAAGCCCGCTCAGGTGTCTTAGATACAAAGCCACTTTAATTAAGGTAATAGGAGCTCTGTATGTGCCAAAGAAGATGCAGTACGTACCAGGAGAAATTAATACAAACATCAGACACTTTACATTTGTTACTGGATTCCTTATGGATTCAAATTTGTGATTTAAAACTTGCATGAAGGCAGCTTTTGCATTTCATATGCTCCATAATTTATAAACAGAAGAGGGATTCATCTGACTTCCTACATTCTTTCCTACAGCTATTTATCAATAATTAAGACATTTTTGTGACAACTACTCAATGTGTGAAAAAGAAACACAAGAAAGGGTTTCCTGGGTGTGCTGACGACTAAAACTAGCTATGCTACCTACTGTCACTTTCGTCTGGTCACTTTTCAAATGTGGGCAACTCTCTTGGGTCTGAGTTGTACTTAACCAAGAATGTCAGAAAGACCAACTGGGGTAGGAATTTCGTCTTGGGAGGGAGAGAGAAAGACAGACAGACAGACAGAGTGGTTGCTGGGTGGGGAAGATCCTGTGAGTGTGACTGTGAGGAAAACACACTATTTTGTCAAGCAGACTACAGAGGAAAAGCTTATGAACTACTACATTTACATAGAAAGTGGTCTACTGTCCTAGCCATTTTCTTTTCGGTATCTGACCCACAAAACAGAAACTCCACACAGGGACCCAGTCCTGCTCAGTACTTCGGGCCTGCGCTGGCCCCTGTGCCAGAAGCCTCGGCCCCTGTACTAAGAAATGGACACATTCAGACATGCTTGGATCAAGCTATTTCAAAGCAAAACCGCTCAGGAAATCATGGCCTAGCTTCCACAGAAGAACAAAGAGGAGGTAAGAAATTAATTTTAGAATATTGCTGTATCCCTCTAGGTTGTTAGAAGAAGAGGAGGAGGTAGAAGTGAAGGCGGGAGAAGAAGAAAACAAACGAATCAACCAAAGTTTCATTAGTTTCAAATAATCAGATTGAAATGATTATGGAAGTTTACTTAAAAGTGATTTTAAACATCTCAAGAAGCTTCAAGAGTCTTCCCAAACACTAATGACATACAATAACAGTGTAAAGGCAGTATTAAAAGCTAACATTCAAAAAACAAAAAGATTTGAGATCTTATAGAGTACGCACGAAACTTTTCCAAGGAGCAGCAACTATGAGCCTCAGTCCGAGGGGCAGAATCAGAGGTTTGTGATCAGACAGAACACAGCTGTGTCCAAGACACGGCGACTCTGCCCAGAGATGGGTTTCCACTCCCCTCCGTGCGGGGGAGCACTGTATTGCAGAATTCATAGCCACCCTTGGCAGAAGTAGCCCCAGGAAGGCTGACGTCACATCCTGTGGAGCTGGGAGGGCCAGGGTGCAGGAGGTGTCCTGTGGGGTCTCAGCACACACCGGCATGGCAGGTATAGGCATCTTACAAGCAGGGGTCACAGTACAAGGAAACATTTGGGAAGTGAAGAACTTTGACTACTAATTAACAAGATACAGTGAAATTCTATTAATGGCTGTGCACTGGATTGCAAATTTTCACTAACCGGAACAACTGGTTCTCATCAAGGGCATACTTCAACAAACCACTCACTCCACTATGCGGAGAACACAGATGTTCATGGTTTTTTTTAATCAGCTATTCTTAAACACTAGAATAGGAGCTTCATTTAAAAAGCAACAACAACAAAAGAGAAACTTCAGCTCTCTACCTGAGGATAGAATTCAATTTTCAAGACTATCTAGGCTTCTGAAATTACAAATGGGTCAGCTTCTTTACCACAATGCTGACTTTCACTGCTGGTTTTAAGCATAGTCTAAGAATTTAGATCTAGGACAAACCTTACATAAAGCCTTGTGATACCTTTATCTACAAGAGGTTGTGATGTGCTGCTCTTCAGGGTCTCTTTAAAACTCTCCATGCCTCTTCCCATCCTGATAAAAAGCTCTGCTATTAGAGTGGCAAGTTGCAGATGACAATAATTTATAATAATATTAATCTATTATCCCATGTCAAAAGCAGAGTCCTATATTTACCAGGTAAACACCCATGTTAGTGAAAATGAATAAGCTATTAGTTCCCAAAGACTTCAGGGCAGCCTCTGGGAATGAGACAGGTCTTAAGTATTGGGGAGGTCTTCTCCTACCTCCTATTCTCACATTTAAAGAAGACGGTAGTCTAAATTCCTTACATTTTAAGTGATGGGCAGCAGGCTGGTTTCTGTGCCACTTATGAGCTCTTCTTTTGCATGCACATACTGGAGGGAAAACCCTCCAGCTAACACAGGAGCTAAAATGAGGTGGCAGCCAGAGCAGCGCCATCCTGTAAACATTTTTTGACATGGACATAATAAAAGCGGACCTTACTGAAAATGTATCCAGAATATATAAAAAAGAAAAACTATGGAGAGTCCAAGGTTTTGAAGCCCTGAGAGACAGAAATACAGTATTATCTAAATTAAAGGTAATACTGTGCAGGCTTCGTGTTAATGGAAGCCTACTGCTGCCCTCACCACTTACTAACTTCAGCGAACACCCACAGTGTATATCTGCTGCGTTGCAAGCTCTACGTTGGGCTGACTCCTGGGTTTTCCAGGCCTGACGTATCTATGACACCCCGAATTATTGAGGTCAACCTGAGAATCGTAAATCAAGGAATTCTAGGAAAATGAAAACTCTTATTCCTGCAGTGCAATTAAAAACAAGTTAAAAGGCAGGGATTCATAATGCAGGATACCTGTTATTCGAAAAGCTAAGAGACTGTGCTGTATGTTTTCAATTTTAAACCATCATCTTGATATGTTTAGGGGTTTAATTTATGGAACAATCAAGCAATCTTTATATTTAACATTAAATGCCTGAATCTTATAAATCACCTTAGATGAACATTTACATGGGAGTTGCAGTGAAACTTTGGAACACCTTGTCACTTTTATTGTATCGCGGTGATTTGTAAAAAATGATATGCTAAGTAATCCCGGAGCATAATTTAGGGACACAAAACCAACTGTCAAGAAACAGCCAGAGACTACACTTAATGAAATCCTTACACGCTGAAGTAATAAGTATTAAATTAATCAACACATCTTAATTGAAGCTCTATCCGTAACGTGTTTTATTAGACTTGTTATTAATGACCCTTTAAATGCTACCACTAACTTGAGTTCTGTGTTAAATTTAAATAATGGACCATTGTTCCCACACAGAAAAGAACAAACACAAGGCTTTAATAGCCCTTTGTCTCAGTGCAGCTTTTCCTCTGGGGCGGAGAGAGACACAGGGAGGATTCACTCTGCTTTGCCACAATATCTGCATCCGCTGTCACCAAGGCTGAAGAGATGGCCTCAAATGACCGCAGTGAAACAGGGAGGCAGGTAAGCAGCAGTAGCGAAGACTGGACATGGTGTGAAAATTCTGGCTGACCTCACAGATGATGCTTTCAAATCTGGGCTTTCCAGAAACCCCCAGCTACCCACAGGCCTGTGCCACATACCAGTGCTCCAGCCCAGATGGGCAGAGAGACAACAGGGTGCCCCGCACCGCCCAGGGTGCAGCGGGCAGCACCGGTATACTTCTCGGCCACACACCCAGGGTTAGGCGACACGTGACTATACATGGAGGGAGGAGGGCGGGCACACACTTACCTGAACATGTCTCCCAAGCCCTTCAGCATCCCCTTCTTGGCTTTCATCTTATCCTTGTCCTTTTCTCGGTCTTTCTTCTTCTCCTTTCCAGTTTTGTCCTTTCTCCGGTCAGCCTTGTCCCCTTTCTCTTGGTTCCCGTTCACATGTCTCTCCAGAGAATGAGACGGCTGGTCACTGGCTGTGGACACCGACTCTCTCCCTGACCGAGAACTCTCCTCTGTGTCTTCTTCCACTTGAAAGAAAGAAGCAAAGTTAAAAAGAGCGCAGTGAGTGACGGCCACAGAACGGCAGGAAACCAGAAGGCTCGGGAGGACCCAACTGTCCCTATTTTCAATGTGAAATGGCTCTGCCACCACCATGGGTTATGAAGCTGCTCAAGGCCGAAGGCATTTGAAGGGGGTGGTGCAGGCATGTGCCCTGCGTGGAGCTGGGCACTCTGGCAAGGGGAAGGCAGCTTCTGGGCTCAGCACTGTGCCAATGCCTCCTTGGAGTTCTGGGCACTAGTTTGTAAAATGAAAAGCGAAACATTTGCTGTGGCTCCTCTCTCGTGCTTCCTTGCTCCTTGGTTATGGAGGTGGTAGGTGCATGCTGGCGTCTCACTGATTTGCCAACCTACAGCACTCACGAGTGAGCACACCAGTGCCAGCAAAGCACTCTTGCCCCAGGCTCCCTGGCATCTTCCTGTAAGGTTTCTGGATATAGGAGGAGGGTTTTTCCTTTATAGTGCCACCGAGCCTCACGGCCTCTGCAACTTTTTCTTACACCATTACTGCAGGACACCAAACATCCTAAGTAAATGCTACTACATATTCTCCATGTTCAAACCCTTCCTAATTCTATACCCCACCTGGACAACAGCAGAACAGAACAGGATGGAGTCACAAAAAGGGGTCCATCAGTAACCCTCACTCCTGCAGACTTTGCAGATGAAGACCCAGTCATGATGTCCTTGACATATGGTCCAATGCCACTGGCTTTTTGCAGTTGGTAGAACAAGTAACTAAAGTAGGTTTCTGCTTAAAGTTGCTCTATCAAGTAAGCACGGATGAACAGAGTAACAGTAATTCAAAGAAATCTGCTCTAAGATTTGTAGACTAAAATTGCCTTGCAAATATTGTAAGCAAGTCAGGGGCTTCAGATGATTTTGAATTTGAAAGTCACTGTTTTTCAGAATAAACTAAGTATGGATCTGTGTTTTTCAGTTTCTAGTAATAGAGTCAAAAAAATACAGTTAGATCTTCTTGATCTTGTGCAAAGAAAGGACCTCAAAATCAAGTTTGTATATCTTAAGAGAAACACAGGCTTGCCTCTTTAGAATTAGCAATACATACTATCACAGTATAAGAGTAGCCAAGTAATATTTCCCACATGATCAGAGTTTTGTTCATTAAGTCTCTGCCTACAACTGTGTCTTAAAAATTATACCTATCCTCTCTTCCAGCAGGCTAGTGTTTCTGTTTTAATATTTAGAACTTTGACCCACTTTGATTTTAGCTTAGTGCATGGAGACAGACATGGGTCTAGTTTTAGTCTTTAGCATGGAGAAAGCCAGCTTTTCCAGCACCATTTATTAAAGAGGCTATCTTTCTTGCAGGGAAGGTCTTTGGCCCCTTTGTCAAAAAGATAAGGTAGCTGACTGCATTTGGAGTTGTTTCTGCATCTTTTAATCTGTTTTCCTAATTCTCATGTCTGTTTTTTTACCAGTACCATGCTGTGTTTCTTACAGTAGCTTTGTACTATGATTTCAAATCAGGGACTGCGGTGCCCCCATCTTGTCCTTTTATACAGTGGAGTACTACTCAGTCAAAAAGGATAAACTTGAGACCTTTCTATGTAAGTGGAGGCACCCTGAGACCATACTCTTCAGTGAAATAAATTTGACACACATGTAAATATTACATTGCTTCTCTGGTATAAGAAGTGTGAATAAGGATCAAAATTAGTAATAAATATTGTGAAACAGTAAGAAAATGTTTAAGTGGTAAGGAGAACTAGGGAGAGGGAAAAGAAAAAAATGCGAAACAAGTTTTTTTTTTTTTAACTAAGGAGGGGATGAGGGCAGGGGAATGGAAAAAAAAAACTACCAAGTACAAATATAGACTCTGTATGATGAATATGATCCTTATGCATACCTAAGATGTAACAATAAACTTAATTTTAAAATAAGACAAAGTCCCAATTTTAGTCCTGTGCCATTAAGCACTCACAAATCTGAGTAGAAATTATTAAAGGATGGAAGGAGGAAGGAGGAAGGATGGCTTACTCAGGCCCAAGTAATAACTTTTTAGGTATTTTTCTTTGTTTTGTTTTTAACATTCTGGTTATTATGCATAATATAAAAACAAAGGTACAGAATTCTTTGTCTTGACATATTTGATTAAGAACATGAGCCCACAAAGTTCCCATCTCTGCAGGCCACTCCCTGAGTACTGCCAGAATAAAAACATCACTGTGTCTAAATCTAGAAGGTCCTTGGAAGTCATATGGACCTATTTTTTTATTTCTTGGCCTTGGCATCAGTGCCCTTGCTGTCCGAGGCAACCGTGTCTGCTATAATATCATTGTACAGTTGGACTGCAGCGAGACCTTCATGCATTTCTGGGATAATTTCATTTGTGAAATGTGCAGCTCCATGCTTCACACAGCACACATTCATGTGCTCTCTCCCAGAAGATTATCCCAGGAGCCAGCATTGCATCCCAGAAACCTATTGCAAATTTTATAAGGTCATTTAACACTGCAACTCATGGCTCAGATTGATGAAGAGACCAAAGAAGCCATAGCAAATGAGTGCAGCAGCCTCTGGACAAGCTACTACCCACAAAGGTGACTGTAGGGGAGCAGATCTTCTGCTGTATGGGGTTATTTAACTGTGAGCTACCTTCCTCTTCCAAAGGGCCCGGTGGCACGGAGGAAATTTGCTTCTTTTTCTGTCAATTAATAGATAAGTAGTGACTATGCAGGATTGTTAGAGGAAGCCAGTTATCCCTTCCAGAGGGACATGATCACAGTCCACAGCTTCACAGATGATGCTGAGTGAAGGCTGTAATTCTTGTAGTGCACTCAGAGCATGAAAAAGTAACCTAGCCAACTGGCCTAAGCTTGCTAATTAGCTGCAATCTTTCAAATGACAGCTCCTCAAGAGAATGCAATACAGGGCTGCAGTGTCCTGTCTAGTACCCTTCGATATGGCTGGGTTCTATTTGTAGACCAGTGCTTCAGCTTTCTGGGAATGTGTGTGGCCCCAAATGCAAGATAATTGAGCCACTGTTAGCAAACAATTCTCCAAAGGTACAAAACCGACAACTATTGCTGTAGTCAAGCAGGCTAAATAGATGCCAGCGAATGTTTGACAATCCCAAGTGGCAACCAGTTTTATGTGTCCATGGATCTTTGTACAATGCTTTGTTTAATACTGTACTTCTCACATACTCTCTCATACACATCTGCCTCCCATCCTCGTGCCTTTAAAACAAGAATGGCCAGGCAGACAGCAGATGCAAATAAATGCCTGCTAACATTTAGACCAGTGACTCTTCCCAAGCAAACTTTTATCCAACTTCTGGATGTCAACCTCCCTCCACTTTCAAAAAAAATGCCTCCTTGCCTCTACTCCAGCCTGACAAAACTGGCCAGGACCCAACCACAGTCACACGAGGGTTGCCCACTGCACTGGGTTTGGCACTGATCTGTTTCTGGTATATTTTTCTGCTGTTATTGTTAGTGGTCTATGTATCGTGTAATGGATTTTACAACCCTCTTCAATGTCTGAAACTATAAACAAAAAATGAGCTCAATAAACGTAAATGAGTTAGTCTTCCCCAGCAACCATTATCATAAATCATGAATGGAAGTATCAGTAGCGATTTTGTTGGTTTCTGCCTAATCCTTTTGGCAGGGGTTCAAGGGGCATATATCTGCACTTGGCTCGGGCACAGAATAAAGGCGGTGCCTCCACAGCTCACTGTACGCTGAAGTCACATTTGTTGCCAATGTTCTTCATACTCACAATCATTTTCTGGTGTGTGTAATGCAACTTGTTTCCTAAATTGAGTGAAATACAGAAAGTTTTAAATCATTTATTAACTTTGGGTTTTGTAAGCTCATCTTATAAAATAAAAACAATCTTCATGTTCCTGCCCCAAGCAAGTGGATTGATCAAAATGGTATCTGAAAGTGGAAACTTCTGGATGCTTATCCTGATTTAGATAATACATTATCACAGAAACTCTACTGGGGGTATACTGATGTAACTAATCCTTTTGAATGCCAACTAATTAAAAATATTTAGCAATATGGAGCTTCATATGTATAAACATAAGATGTTCTTTTAGAATATCACATCTTATATATGCTTCAAACTCAGAAATTGTTCAATAAAGAAAAAATAAGAATCTCTCATTTTACTTTGCCTTTGTGTAAAAAACCCTATGGCTTATCAAAGCTCAAATAAATTGGCTACATATGTTCAATTTTTAAAAATACATATATATATTCAAGGCTACTGATATGCTAGTTAGAGTCTAAATTTTAAAACCAAATTTTATACTTATAGTACTACCTTTATTACAAAGGCCATAAAATATTTTTATTCCCCTTAAGCTAAAAAAAACCCCATGGAACATTTATGTGAACTATTTTTTCAACTAAGAAAAGTACTAGCAATATATCAGCAGTAAATGACTTGATCTATTGTGTTCACACAGTAAATTACAATATAAGAACTAATCATAAACTTATCTTTAGACAATTTACTATTTTAAATGCTGTATAAATTCTGATGTTTTCCACTTTAATTTCCCTCATCTTTACAGATTATTTACTTTCCTTTTCAAGATAGCCTGAACAAAGAAAGATGATTATCTCCTTCCAAACAAACTGAAATGTCTATTTTTGACAGTATTTCTTCCTATTTTAACCTGCTCTATGCACTCAACTCTTAGCCACTTCCCCATGTGATTACCTATAAAGACGGGTACTTTTCGAGTTTCTTTTTTTAAAGAAAGCAATGCATGAAGCTGCTTATTTCTTTCACACAGTACAGTCATTCTGCAATTAAGATATACCTAATTACCATGTTTTCAACAAATGCAAATGTAGCTCAATTAAAATTCTAGCCCACGTTACAAATTAAGCTGCTCAGTTGTGCAGGTATCACAGTAGGACGAGGTCACCAAGAAGTTTGGAAAAGTCTGGGCATTTATGAGTCAGTGATCATGGAGAAATGACACT